CCTGCATTGTGTGCGATGTCATTCATCGGCCTACTCAGCATATGCGCAACAGATCTATCTCCATTTTATCCTTTATATATATATATAGTTGAGCGATCGGCTCTCGCCTGTTGGTTTGTTACACTGCAGAGTCTCTTGTTGGTAATTCTTTCTGGCCGGTCATATGATCTTCAATTTGATGGATCCAGCGAAGGAGGCAGTTCTTGCTAAGAATCTGTAACTTGTTGTGAATCATTTTCGTGACCTTCCAGCCAATTTTCTGACCCATATAGTCGAATTGACTGACTTTACATTGGCGTTAAAGATCCGAATCTTGTTCTTTATGTCGAGTTGGTGCAGAAGATTTAAATTCACATTTTATACGTTTCACATAAATTACATCTTATTGTTTTGTCAAAATTCTTAAAGGGAACTGTTTGCTTTATAGATGTGTTAAAATTTTCCTCCTTATATTACTGTTGTCAACTGGGCTGAGGTTATTTGTAAGCAAAGACTATAATCTAACATCAATTAGAGAACCATTGGAAAATCAACCAGGAGTACTGGACAGTTGTTTCCTACGTCCTAATCTAGAACTCTTCATTAGTACGCACCCACTGCACTGCGGTTCGAACCCAGTACCTTCTGGTTGCATGGCGAGTGATCTCGTAGACCATTAAGCCACTGGGACCAGTAGTTTTCCAGTGGTTGTCTAACTGATGTCAGCTCATCATGATGAAATCCTCCAACCAATCGAACAAAATCCCTACATAAAAGTCAATACTTGAAATTACTTTCAAAACAACTTCAACAGTGGAATTGAATTCCTGATTTGCAGTTCACACAAATCGATGTGAAAATTTACCACAATTTCCTTTCAAATTAAAATATATTTAGTCCATTATTATTATTGTTTCCTTTATTTCTTAGAGGAACATGGGGCTTTAGCCGCAAGTCTTCATTGCGTTCCGTTCTCTGCCAGCATTTTCACCACTTGGCTCCACGTCTGCTCGCATGCTTTCCACTCGAGCAATGGCCTGATGTGTGGTGTTACTCACTTGATAGTTTGTTTTCTCAGCGTATGATCAATCCACCCGCATTTCTTCCTCCATTTTTGTAGCACAATAGGTTCTTTCTGGGTTGGTACGTCGTTCCCAGAGATCCCTGTTGCTGAAGTTTTCTGGCCAGCCGTCTGATCTTGAGTAATATTGATCGAAAACAATACTCAGGATCTGTATGATGACACCCTAAATGCCAATCAAGAAATGAAACTCAATTGTATTTAGTGGCACTTACTACTTGCAGATTGTTATGAGTAGTCGAAAGTCACTCAAATCAGTCTACAGCGCTTTCTAGGCGGATCAAAATAATCTCCAAACACCGGATGGCTGTATCTGTCGTTTCGGTTACAGCTCATTAGTGGTACTTAATGGTTTAACTCAACTGAAAGACTATCGAAACACTTCAAATCACCCTTCTAATGTTTGGATCGATTCAATCTGCCTTACACGTATTACTGATTGATGTCATTGTTTCTAAATTATACATATGAGAATCAATGATGTATGTCACCACGCAAAGCTTGATGATGTCAATTTTGTCTTCTGAAAAAGAGAAGACGTTCAGCGAAGAGACTCTCTTCGGCGGATTCATTCACATAGCTGTACAATCGCATTTATATATACTTTTTTTACTTTACTTCGGCTATCTCCTACGGGAGGATGAGCCGGCTTCATGAACGTCTCGAATCATCGCTGCCCAGGCGCGGCAATTTGTAAGAGAGTTCATGAAGTTTCATGGGAATTTGGTACGAGTGATGTCCCCAGCATCGCTCGGCCTTTGTTTGAGAGTGCAGCTCTAGCCTTTACACAGCCAAGTGTGACCTACAAGGCAGTAGGAGTGGAGTAAGGAGTCCACTATCCATTGGCAGCCGGTGACCGGAGTTCGGTTCATACGCCTTTTTGAATGGGGCCAGACATCCAGGACATCCAACAAGCCCTTTGTCCATACGTCTGCCGGTGAGCTCCAGTGAGCTTCATACGCCAGTCGTTGGAGGTTTGGAATCAGGGTTTAGCCATCTCCCCTAGACTGTCATCCAATGGACAGTCAACCCGGTGAAGAGCGCCGGGCATCCGCTTTTGCCCTCTCACTTCGGTGAAAAACACCTCCGCCACGTGAAGGCAGTGAGTAGGACTTCCTCAGGAGAGGCTATGTAAGACGCACGGTCATATGGGAGCATTTCAAGAGGTGTACGGAGGGGTGGCTAGCCCGCAGCGCAAGACACCCACCCCCGACCATCCTGAGGCTTTGGAGGCGCATTTATATATAATTATTTGTGTGTGTGTGTGTGTGTGTGTACATGGGGTTTGTCCAGTCTAGATAATTAATCAGGTAATACAAGAGTGATCTAATATATGAACAAGGTTTATTAGACAGCAACTAAAGTAAGATTGAGTTAGTAAGTTTTTTTCTTTTCTTTCCCACAGCTGGCTATATGACAATGCCACGTGTCGAGTGATCCACAACGGAAAACTCAGCGAGGCGATCCATGTGTACAACAGGAGTAAGAGAAGACTGTCTCTATGTGATCATTGATGATATTCTTAACTGTGGAGGACTGTATAATGCGTCAGACTTTTGGGGTCGAGGAGTCAGGAATACACTGAACCATTGGTAAGCCTCAGGATGGTCGGGAGTGGGTGTCTCGCGCTGCGGGTTAGCCACCCCTCCGTACACCTCTTGAAATGCTCCCATATGACCGTGCGTCTTACATAGCCTCTCCTGAGGAAGTCCTACTCACTGCCTTCACGTGGCGGAAGTGTTTATTTCACCGAAGTGAGAGGGCAAAAGCGGATGCCCGGCGCTCTTCACCGGGTTGACTGTCCATTGGATGACAGTCTAAGGGAGATGGCTAAACCCTGATTCCAAACCTTCAACGACTGGCGTATGAAGCTCACCGGAGTTCACCGGCAGACGTATGGACAAAGGGCTTGTTGGATGCCCTGGATGTCCGGCCCCATTCAAAAAGGCGTATGAACCGGACTTCGGTCACCGGCTGCCAATGGATAGTGGACTCCCTACTCCACTCCTACTGCCTTGTAGGTCACACTTGGTTGTGTAAAGGCTAGAGCTGTACTATCAAACAAAAGGCCGAGCGATGCTGGGGACATCACTCGTACCCAATTCCCATGAAACTTCATCAACTCTCTTACAAACATTCGAGATGTTCATGGAGCCGGTTCATCCTCCCGTAGGAGATAGCCGAAGTAAAGTAAAGTAAGTAAGTATTGGTAAGAAGACTCTTGAAGATCTGGATTTCACAGATGATTTATGTCTGATGTCACACAAACTCGAAGACTTGCAAGCGAAAACAAACAAATTGGCTGAAGAGGCTAACAGCGAAAACAGGACTGCAGGTGAACACAGAGAAGACGGAGGTGTTGAAAATAACCAATCAACAGAAACAATAACCAGCATCAATCATCATCATCAGTGGGAGAGATTTAACAGAAGTTACCTATGCGTCGGTTGGGAAGCTCGCCGACCTTGCACATGTTCCGGGATTCGATCCTCGGCCGGCGCACTCCTTTACCTCACTGAGCCAGAAATAATGCTAGTAAAGAGGAAAGGTTGGGTATGAGGCTAGCGACCTCATCCTGTAAAATTAAACACAGCTACAGAAATTTAAAGCCACTAGCTTGAAGCCCTATGTTCCACTGAAAACTTGAAGGAAAAAATTATTATTATTATTATTACTTCCTTCATTGTTTCAACTACAGGCAGTCGTAACGGATGAAGATGTGCGTCGGTGGCACAGTGGTTAGGACTCTCGCCGACCATGCACATGGTCCGGGGTTCGAGCCCTCGCCGACGCACACCTGATATCTATGGTCGGCCTGAAAAATTTGGGCTACCGATATCCATGCTGAAAATTCCATACTTGTACCAAAAATACAGTGTGGGATCAAGCTGTAATCAAAAATAAAAAATAAAAATAAAAATAAAATGTTAAAGTCAGCGAGCATCGGAAAGACAAGATACGCCTTCATCAACTTGAAGCGAGCTTATAGAGATCTTCCGCATTCAGTATAAGGAACAAGATTCGCATTTTCAATAGCTTGTTGTAGACTTTCATCAACAGTAGCCTTCACTGGCTCCATAATGAAGATCAAGTGGCTGACCAGAAAGAATAAGGAACAAGAAACTGTGGCGATGAGCAAACCAACAGGCGAGAGTCTATCGCTCAACAAATATGTTGGAGGAAAATAGCTGGAGATGGATCGGTTGGGGGCATACATTGAGGAGGCCGTCGAATGACATCTCACGCACTGCAGACTATCAGTCGAGTGGAATCTAAATGAGAAGCGACGAGTAGATTGTCGTAGGGTGACATGGAGGAGATTGTGTGAAGAAGAGGAGATGAGAGATTTCGGTCAATCGTGGACTCAGATGAAGAGGACAGCAGAAAACAGAGCAAGGCGGTGAGGTGTTGTTGAAGCCAGCCCTATGTTCCACTCGAGACGCAAGGGAATAATGATAATAATAATAATAATCGCCAACTTAATATAAATGCAGGTATTTTATTGAGTATCACTTCTGTAACAACAGAAGACAAGGGCCAGGCAACAGATCGTTTTATTATGAAAATCAACACGTATTTATACATATTTCACATACATTATTATAGACAAGCGCAGTCATCTGATTGGTTGTTTATCAGAAGTTAGGCAGACAAACGCAGGCTTCTGATTGGTTGTTTCGGGATTCCTTGACAAATAGAGTTCTCTATCTGCGAATCATATTTTGCCACGTTAACTTTGCTGTGATTGGTCGTTGACTCAGCCTTGTTCATATTTTCTCACGGCCCATATTAACGTAACTTAGTGTCAACCAATCGGCTAGCAGCCTGCTCTCACCACACTTCATCTTTCATAGTCTCTTTTTTTGTCATATTTTTCTTGATTTTCTGCATTTCTGTTGTCCCTCATGTGTTATTTTGTTTTTCTTTTTTTTCTGTTCAGAATTGATCGAATTATCCACTCAGATTTAATTCGTGCCAGACAAACAACAGCCGCTGTACTTGTTGGCTTACAAAATAATGTGGATTCACTGTTTGACACACCAGAAATTGTCAAGCTTGTGAGTCCAGATGCATCCAGGTTGGGGGATTCTATGTCCTGCCCTCTACCAGCAACTGGCACTCATAATAATAGTAATAATGAACAAAACCCCACTTCGACATCTGTAGCCGATACTACTAGTAGTGCTACTACTCCAGTAGATATTCGAATGATTGAATCCCCATACAGTCCATATTTAAACGCGAAATTCGATTGCCAGTTGTCACGTTTCCTAACTGAAGGTCCACCACCAGTTGCACCTGTACCGTCAACAGCATGTAAGTTAAATAGAACATTGGAGGTTATATTGATGTTTCCCCCAAATAGAGATGCCTTAATCACCAACAGATCTATTGATATCCTCAAGAAATAGCCAGAAGGCGGTACTCCATTTTGTTGACTGGGAGGTGTTGAGGTAATGTTTGTCCATGAATGAAAGACAATACTGAGAAAGTATGTATGAATAATCAAGGCATTCTATTCAAGCTCATTCAGGCGTGCCTTCTGAAGTGATAAAAACCAATAGTATCTATCAGGGATGTCCATTGTCCTCATTTCCGTCTAATTTCATCATGGATCAACCAATAGAATCGAGCCTGGCCGACTTCAGAGATTTAGAGACTGACTTGTTGCTAAGGTATACCCCGGTGGACTTAAAATATGCAGATGATATAGTACTCTTAGGTGAAGACATGAAGGAAACACAGAGTCTCCCAAACATCTTGAGCAGAATCCCTTGAATATTTGCCATGCGATTTGCTTCTGTCAGCAGGGTAAGCAGTTCGCCACTTAGCCAGCTTGTTAATATTCTGGTGGACAGGCACATGGACTCATGTGAAAAATGGGCAAAAACCATTTTATCGGACTCACAACACCCTCTACATTCACAACTCTCCCCATGTATCTCTTCAGGGAAAACCAGAAGCCTATATAGAAAACTATATGCCCGCACTAGCAAGTACAAAAACTCATCCATACCCTACCTAGCTCGTGTTCTGTGCGATAAAGAAAGCATTAGGCGTGAAACCTTTAACTTATTAAATAGTCAGTAGAACAAATGGATCTCGTCTTTCCAAGTCACATCATTTACAGGTACAACGTTTTCTCTCTACCTTTTTTTTGTTATGTGTTGTTTTGTTTCTCTTTTCCTTGCAAACTCTACTTAAAACATTCTTGTTCGTTCTTTCACACTCTGTATACCTCGACCATTTTGCTATCACTTAAGCCAGTAAATATGCTAGTAGTATCTACTTTTCTAACACCTTCAAACACTCTGTTTAAATTTTGGCTTTTGCTACCGACATGCTAATATGTTGTTGTCAAAACTGACTGAGATAACCTTAATCTGTGTAGAACTATATTTATTGTTAATGTACTAACTGGATGCAATATTGTAGTAAAATGCTGAGAATTCCATTCTGTATCACAAGTACTGTTTTGGAATAAAGCTATTATCTTATCTTATCTTAAGGTAAGAGGATGCTACCGCGTTGGACTACACTGACTTCTAGCTTTAAAGATAAGGAGTGAAGTGGTGCAGCGTGTGGACCACTTCACCTATTTGTGAGGTCGCATCAGCCCTAATTATTATTATTGTTGTTTCCTTTAGTTCCTATAGGAATATAGGGCTTCAGTCGCACTTCTCCATTGCATTTCGTTCTCCGCCAACGTGTTCATCACCTAGCTCCACGTCTGCCCACATTCTTTCCTCTCCTCTTCACATGACCTCCTCCATGTCACCTCACCATCGCACTGACAACTGACTCGCCGCTTCCCAGTAGGTAGGGTTACACTCGAAAAATGGCCTGGTGTGTGATGTCACTCACTTGATGGCTTATTTTCTCAGCGTATGGTCAATCCACTTCTATTTTTCCCTTCATATTTGTAGCACAATAGGTTCCTTCTAGATTGGTTCGTCGTTCCCAAAGATCCCTGTTGCTGAAGTTTTCTGGCCAGCCGTTTGATCTTGAGAATTGAGCGAAGACAGGTATTGATGCGAATCTGTAGTTTGTTCGAAGTACCCTTCGTGACGCACCAAGTCTATCAGCCCAAAAATACTAACTGATTGCTGACTAAATCTCAGGACCAGTACAAGAGCTCATGTGGCATTTACCAACTTACCTCACCCTCCGTGTAGGCATGATGTTCGGCTATTAATAAAACGGCGAGTGTACTGAGCAGCAAGTCCGCTATGTCCTCCCTTATGGCTGTGAGACGTGGCCATTGAGAGTGGAAGACATGAAAAGCCTGGCTAGCTGTCTTTGACCGTAGGTGTCTGTACTCTATCTCCCGTGTGAAGTGGTATAATAAGATTAGCAATATTGAGGTTAGGTGTCGAGGGCTAGGTAAGGAGGGGGAAATCAATCGACGAGGCTGTGAAGCAACATCGAATGAGATGGTTAGGACACGTGTTACGTATGTCTAGTCATCGCCTTCCTCGACTGCCAATGTTAGCTGACATAGGGTCAGGCTGGAGAAGAGCTAGCGGCGGTCAGACCAAAACATGGCTTCATCACCCACAACAGATAGGGAGGTGCAGACTCCCTGGTTGAGGTCCTCGGGACGGTAAACACCAATGGCTGGAACAGATGCATCCACTCCTTGTGGCTTATAATACCCAATAAAACTATATTGTTCTTCGTTATTACTATACCTTTGTCTCACAACTCAACTTACTATCTCTATTATGCATTTCTTCTACTTTCTTCTCTTGCTCTGTGTGCTACATGGAGGGAGTGTGGCGAATTGAACTGCTGCACATCGGTGCAAAGTAGTTCTATGTCGAAAACAGACAGACAAATCATCTAATACCTTAGCTAACCTCCAGACAACAGTTTGTCATTGGTGCCTCTACAGTCATTCCATGAAATCCTGCTGCTCTACCTCGTTTCAGATTGCAGTGGACCAATCTCGATATCTCTTTCAACTAGATGTTAGGTGATGGGCAGGTTGAGTTTATTCCTCAACAGAGTTCGTAACAGATGACGGGGTGGGTGTCGAACTGTGTTTCAACTAAGCTATAAGTGACATGAAATTTATCCAGGGCTGGAATAAAAATATTCAATGTACAACTTTCAAATAATTAACTGATTATACAGTTTAAATAAATACCATTAGGTGTGTAAATAGTATTTAAAAACACTGATTGAATTTTATGTATATACATGTTGAATTTTGACGTAATACATTCTGGCTAATATCAACCATCGATTATTTAACTTGATTCGATGAGGTTGCTAGGCAACCCGATTTAAACTTACCTAATTTAGTGTAAAACTGTATTCTATGTCCAATATTTCAAAATTACTTACTATGAGTGTTGATGTCAACAAATATTTATTCACTCTCATTGCACCATTATTATTATTATTATTACCCTAAAATGAGGAGTCCATTTTTCTAATGTATGTTAGAAACACGCCTTAAATATTTAATAATTTTGGCATACGATATAATTGAATGACTTAAAAACCAGTATGGATTTGTAAAATGCTACATTCATGATGCTATATACTACTAATTAATTTATATGAGTAGTCTGATACCACTCTCAATCAACCAGTAGTGTCTGCTTGCTGGGCAAATCAAAGTCATCTAAAACAAAGGATGGCTGTTTCATTCACTCTTTTTTGGGGGCTGGGAGGTCATCAGTGACCTGCGCCGATGGGGTTTACAGTTCAAATATTTTTGTTGAACTGGTAATCGGGTACACCGCTAATGAACTCGGAGCCAATTGAACGAAATGGCAATGCACGGGTGTATTTTCAAAATCAAAAGTCGATCTGGCTAGCAAGCAATACTGGTTGATATGAGTGGAGTACAGCTACTCAAATAAGTCAATTAGTAGTATGTAGCGTTAACTATTTGTGGTAAGTATCAAGTAGGTCAACACGCATATATTGTATGTGTGTGTGGGGGGGGTGACTGAATAATTTTGACTATGAAGAGAAGGCACGGTGAATTCCGTATTAGTTTGTTTATTAGATGTATCATACAGTGAAACGGTATTATTTACTGGATGACAAGGTTTCGAACAAAATTTATTGTTGTTCACATAATCATTTCATCAATTATGATCACACAACTTCGAAACTTGAGTTTTATAGTTTTCTGTGTTCTCTACTATTTGTCGTAGTCGGGGTAGTAGAATTTTCGAGATATCCAGCTGGACAGGTGTTGAATCACTCCTATTACACGTGTTTGCAGTTGATTCGATGGACAAAGCTTCTGTTATCAATCCCTCCCTCCTCCCTTTGACATTAGATTTTAAAACTGTAATCCTATCCCATCCTATTGTATTGTTGCCTTTAACTGCATGTAGTGAGTGCTATAGCTGAACTATTCTCTAGATTTCGTATCTTATTCGGGTCAACCAATCTTGATTTTGCTGCTCTGTTTTTATGTTCCGCTAGTCTGATTACCCCTGTTCTACTAGTTTGACCTATGTATTTGACCGCACTGACAATCATTGCAGGTAGGATATTAGATAAACCAAGTTGTTTTGTTTTAAAAGCTCCACTGGCAGGATCCTTTAACCGACGAAGCTTGTTTCTAATTGAGTTTGTGGGTGGTTTGAACGCCAGCTACTTTTATTCCTCCCTGCCTTGTTAAGAATTCTGCGTTAGGTGGTTTCCGAGGTTCCTTCGTTGTATGGATTCACTACTGATGATTTAGATTCCTTATTGTTGGTGTCGTCATTAATATTATCATTACTATCACTATTATTATTATTATTGTTAACACTATCGCCACTATCATTATTTATTTTGTTTTTACATTTCCTTACATATTTGGTGACTTATTTATCTGGATAATTATTAAGTTGCAAGGCTTATTTTATGCGTATCACTTCCTGTCTTAGATTTTCCTTGGTACTGTTCAGTTTTTGTGCTCTGTCATTTACACATTTCACCAATCCTATTTTTACTGACATAGGATGGGATGATTGGAAGTCCGAATATCGGGTGTGAGGACAAATACTCGCCGAGGACATTGGCTAGCGGTCGCGCTATGTCGTGAGTTGGCAGAAGTTAGAATTCAAGGACCATTGGATCGGGTCCCAGTGACTTAATGGTATACGAGCTCGCTAGCCTTGTAACCGGAAGGTCCGGAGTTCGAATCCCGGTGGGTGCGTACTGCTCAAGAGTCCCAAACTAGGCTGACGAAACAGCTGTCCAGTACTCCCAGGTTTTCCAATGGTTCTCTAACTAATGTCAGCTCATGATGAAATCCTGAAGTCCAAATATCTGTTTGACTGTGTGGGTTTCCTGTAAACACGTTAGTGTGTTCAACTTCCTATCTTTTTTCCTTTTTACCTTACAATCTAACATTGGAAGCTCCTCTTCCTGACTTTTCAATTCACAAAGAAAACTATAAAACGCAAGTTTCGAAGTTGTGTGATTATAATTGATGATATGATTATGAACAATAAATTTTGTTCGAATCATTGTAATGCGGTAAATACTACTGTTTCACACTGAGTGCGATATATCTAAGAAATAAACTAATATAGAATTACTTACTACCACAGGGACCAAGTTTTGCACACCCATTAAAAGTCATGGTGAAATTTCACCTCCTCGAAGTGTGTGTGTGTGTGTATGTGTGAATTGGAAATCGCGAATTTCATTTCATTTTAAATGGAATCTATATCCTTTAATTACATTTGTGGGTAACAATCTTGCTTCTTATAGAGATGTAACTCACTGTCTTTATCACTCCGATTTCAGTCAATGAATATAGGTCTCAGGTTTCGATTCCCGTTCTACGTATTTCAGCTTGGGCAAACTTGCTATTATTTAATTGGTGGATGGTGACTAGCAGTGGAATCCAGGATAACGCGCATTTCGTCCTATTTGGGACTCGTCAGCTGGATGTACCTGCATTTCTCAGTGAGTGATGACGTTCCCACTGAGGCTCGAACCCAGTACCCATAGTTTCAAACGCCAAAGCGTTATCCACTAGACCACTTGGGCCACGAGAGCCACCTCTTGTGCAACGGGTCATATTATTATTGAATTGACCGAGCACTTCGGTCCAATCAATCGACGGGAAAATCAAAAATTCAATTCAATAAACTTGCTATTAGTTTCATCGACACTCATACAATAATTGTTCGGGTTTTGTAGCCGTGAGACATTTGGAAATTTTTTCTAGTTGACTGAGTACTAAGTTATATATATATATATATACATGCACACACATACAAACCACAGACTGTTACTTCTTCTAATACTGTCTATCTAAGCCTACATTTAAGTTGTCTCAACCAAACTTTCACCTAACAAGCCTCTAGTCTTTTTTTTGACCATCCATTTTTCACGTTAATCTGAAATTTTTCTGGATGATGATTTCAATATTGTCAAAATCAATTATTGACCTGATTCTATGGCGTGTAGGATGACCTATAGTTGATGATTCTTCAAGCTTTTCTAGTTCACTAACTGGATTTCTTGGTGGTTGAACAGATACTCTATGGTGTTCATTCCTTCTGATCGTGACTCCTCTCTGGTGATGTGTTATGGTACTGCTGCTGAGTGAGTTATTAGTAAGTTTTCCCTGTCGCCAGTTATGTTATGTACTCGTCGAATAGTTAATAGTCCTGAAGCGGAAAGAGGGAAATCAGAAGACCACTAGGTTTACAATGATACTTGTATTTTCCAGACAAGGAAAATAAATGTCTCACAAGAGTGTAAGTGAAAGGGTACTTAGATGTACGAAATGTGTGTGAACAAGAATGTATATAAGTGTACAGTACAAAAGTATATAAGAAAATGGCTAATTCACATGAACCAATAAGATAACGTCTTACCATGATTGGTTGTAATGTCATGTGATAACAAGGTCATACATTGTTTATTTAGTTAGTGGACAGACAAAGCATAATGTCAGTTATAATGCCATATCAATCCATATCGATTTCATTTGATCCGCATTTAATCTTTTTCTTTTAGAAGTTCCATTCAATACTTTGTTTGTTAACTTTTCACATTTTTTTTCTTTTTCACAATCGATTTTCGTCTTTCTGTGTATAACACCTAAAGCTACAAGAAAGCGATCCACTAATAATAATAATATTCATGAGAAAGAAGGTATCCGCATTGACAATGGTTTCCAAGTCCATCTGCATAGACAACCGATCACTAGTCAAGGTGTGATAGCTTGTAACGGTCCTGAATATTGTCCAATTCAATGTTGTACGAAAACAAGTACTGGAACATCTCCTGTTTATCGTGATAGTCATCATCATCATCATCATCGTCGTAGTAGTGTTGGTAGTAATAGTATTACCATTGTCCAATGTAATTGTCCATGCCATCGAATTGCTGAGAATGAACCAATTGAAACAATTGTATTTATTGGTCATGCAAATGTATTCCGCTATTGGATTTGTAGACTGTTACAATTACCATCTGAAGGTTGGTTACGTCTATCGTTGGGTCATGGAAGTATTAGTAAACTCGTCATCACAAATGATGAGTATTTTGTGGATAACAATAATCCTGCTATTTATAATGATCAAGGTGATGATGGCTCCAGGCAGGAGATGACATCAAAACATTATGGTTGTGCTGTTACTCTGTGCAGTTTTGGTGATGTTGGACATTTACCGCCGGAGTTGGTAACATATTAAAACTATTCAGCCTATTTTTGTCTTCTCCGACTGTCTTCTCCTACCCTCAAGCGCACAGTCTAGTCGCGTATATGTCAATCAGTTTGATGTCAGATAGAGGAATTATAATCTGCCACATACACTTTTATATTGTATGTATACTATACAGTTGATTTTGATTCTGTATGAGATTTTCAAATATATATTTTTATAATTTATCTTATTCGAAGCCAAACTTGTTACATTATGGGCATCAAGAGGGATGAATTATTGCCCGGTCATCTAGCCTTGAAGAAGGTGGTTGTCTCAATGAACCACCCCCAATCGCCAAGCATTTGATCTCATGTCTGATCAACGTGGCAGGAGTGTCAAGATCTGTTCTCCTATGGTTGTTGACCCGTCCATATTTCGGTGCGCAAGTAAATCATAGGCTTAGAATCACGGTTTCATAGAACCCCTTTCCAGGTGGTCTGGTTGCAAGCATCAGACGTTCACCTTGATCTATTCATCAGTTTTGTGAGGAACACCACCAACTTGCAGCAGCGTGAAGGTGGTATATAGGACTTAATTGGTAGAGACTAAGAAGGCGTGACTGCATGAAAGCATTCTGTGATGAAGACTAATGTCGACGTAATCTAGACAGAACCAGCTTGATTATTGGAGCTGACAGTACTCTGCCAAGCAGGACTTGGTATACCTTCACCAATAAGGCAGCTGACTTGCTTTCGTGAAGCTCTTCGAATTGGCGTTCGGTGGTTGGAGGAGAAAGACAGGAGACTTCACACTTAGCTCATATGCTTCTTGGAACTTGTCAGCCGTGGATATATGTGATACCCGAAAACAATTTACATCCTGTCGGTAAATTAGCTAGGTAACATTAGTTAGTAAATATCTACTCAGCCACTGATCTGTTTTGTATCGCTTTATTGTTTGAAACGACTGTTATCCTATTCGAATATCACTGGGAACACTTTTTCCATTCACCCACTTGGAATGCAAGTACATTCAACTATGAAAAACCCTCAACAGCTAGTAACGTGCTTTCCGTATCCTTCTGTTAGCCAACATCGACAAAAATAATATTAAAACAGATGGTGTCTCAGTGTATAAGTTGTCCGTCTAACGTATGTGCAGGTTTTAATGAAAGTGTTTAACTGATTACAACATATTCGGTCCCAAACGAATGAGTTGGAAGTACCTACGGCTTTTATATCACTTCAATCTGCCTATTATGCACCAATATTTAACTTGAATAGATTCCAACTACTTATTCCAGTAAATAAGTAGTATATTCATTATCATATTATTTCTTATGTGAAGTTATTCACAGTTAAACGTGAGTGCTCTAATCATACTAACCTTCAACAGTATGCATTGCTAAGTGCATTAGATATTGTGCCTTTATTTCATCATTGTGCATGTGAATTTATCTGAAACAATTTGGAGAATTGTGCGTCAGTGGCACAGCGGTTAAGAAACTTGCCGACCATGCACATGGTCCGGGGTTCGATCCCCGGCCGACGCACTCCTTTACCTCGCCAAGCCAGAAATAATGCTGGTAAAGAGGAAAGATTGGGAAACCTCATCCTGTAAAATTAAACACTGCTACAGAATCTTCAAGCCACTAGCTTGAAGCCCTATATCCCACTGGGAACGTGAAGGAAAAAAATTTGTTCTTAGTCCCAGTTAGGAGACTCTTCAGCAACACTCACTCGTAACTCCAGCAGGGATCAAAGTGAGAACGTTGGGAATAATAAATTAACCTCTGGGTTGAAAGCCAACAACCCTCGGTATTTTCAGTCTATCACCCATGCAAGTACTAACAGGACACAGAGTTGTTTGTAACTTCGGTGATTGGATTAGAACTGAGGTTTTCAATATAGTGTGTTCGCTGACAATGCGCGTTTATCCCAGCCGGTTAGTAAGGTTGATAAATACTGATAAGCACTAACATGAGGGAGCGAAACAGCCATTTGATGTATATGTCACTTTGAATGATCACTAGAGTCGAGGAATAAATTTTGGTCAGAAAGTCATCGGTAAATATTACTGTATCGCACTGTGAGACTTCATCGAAATAAATTTTATCTACAAAAGTTACGCAGTACTCAATAAACTGGGAAGAAACATCTACCCCTCTTTCATTTGTGCGTTGTTGATTCGAAGGTGGAATGCTTCCCAGCTATACGGGATATCTAAGCTCATTTCCTGGATAATGCACACTTAAATGCCTCTTTGTCGCCGGTAGGGGTGTTTGGGTGTAGCGTTATCCAGTACAACCTCACAAACAACACGATTGCTACCAAAATCTCTAAGCTTAAAGTCCCAGGTTCTACTGCAAATGCACCGAAAGAAATGTCATCGCCAATCTTGTGACAAGAATCAACCATGTATGCAGTGAAGGTATACATTGTTTAAGAAACTGGAATCCTTCAGAAACACTTAAATCTAACCTCTTTCATCGATTAACGTGTTAAAATAAGGAAGATCAACACTCTGCAAAACTTAGATGTCCCAACGAAATAACTGATTTTAGATTTGAAATTCAAAGGAGATCTACAGTTGGTAGAGTTTTTTAATGTTGACTATGGAAATCATTTCAAAGAACGCTATTTGTTGCGTCTCAAGGTTTCACCTTCTCCACACCGACTTCATCAGCAAAATGTCAAGGACATGATCCAACTTTTAGTATTCATTTACTAATTCTATTGCTCTTGTAAAGCTGAGTTCTTAGGTTATATCAGCGATACATTGTCTGGATGTGTTCATGAACACTTATCAGCATGGTTGTCAAAAGACAACTTAGAACACTACAAAAGCTCCATTATAGAGCACACTACTACTTATGGTCAAGTAGAACCAGCACAGATATAATCCAATATTAAATTGCTGTTCACTAGGATTTCGCTTTTTACTGGATGATTGGAGGCAATCGACAGGAAGCCCCATTATGGTGATGATCTCGTCATATACAGTCAAAACGAAAACGATCATGTGAACCATGTAGAAGCCGTGCTGCGACGCATCGAAGAGTTTGGACTGCACGTCAACAAAACCAAGTCTCAGTTAGCCAAAAAGAATGTATCTCTGTTGGGACATAAAGTGGGAAATGGTGAGATCTGTTGACTGACTCCTTTTTTTTGTCTTTACAATTGGTGTCGCTGCCTCCGAAAAATGAAGATCCCATCGCCAACTGCTTTTGAAGAAGGAGACATACGGAGCTTCTTATGTGACTTCGAGGCCGTCGCTGAGCTGGTAGGTGTCAAGGAGCAGGCGGCGAAGGCGGTTTTCTTGGGGATGCTGTTGAGAGGCCGAACGAAGGCGGCATATGACAGCGTAGACAGTTCAGATGGCACAGTGTCTTGGAAGACATTGGTTGAGCGATTGAAGATTGACTAAGAGTGAATGCCTACGGGACTCTGGCCTGGCGAGAGAACGACGGAAGCTGACTGGCTGTCATACCTCAATCGTCACGCCACGACATGATAGAAGAATATCACCAGCTAGCACATACAGGCGTGGCCAGAACAACCGACCTCCTAAGACAAAGTATATACTGGCCAGGTATGAGAGAAGACGTAGCAAGATACGTACTTGGATGTCCACGGTGCCAGCTAATGAAAGGCGACCGGTGCATACGACCACCGCTTCAGTCGATTCCAGTTACGGTGATAGGTGATTTGTGGTCCGTAGATGTCTTGGGTCCATTTCCTCAGACATCCAATGGTAATCAGTACCTCTTGGTGATGACAGAACACGAGACACGATGGGTAGACGCTGTAGCAATCCCAGACCAACGTGCAAGGACCGTGACAGATGCAGTCGTTAGACACATCGTTGCAGACCACGGCGTACCAAAAACAATACTGAGAGATCAAGGTCCCTGTTTCGAAAAAGAAGAATTTACTTCCCGTTTGCAACAGCTGGGCATCAAGAGGATCAGAACGACCTCATATAATCCACAAACGAATGGCCTAACGGAGAGGAACAACCGTACAATGAAGGAGTGGCTGGCCTCGAAGGGTGGTAACTGGGAAACGGAGCTTCCACTGATTTTACTAATACATCGTGCTGCCACTCAGGAAACAACGAAGAAGCCACCCTTTCAACTCATGTATGGTAGAAAACCACGATTACTGATACACAATGAGACCTGGCCCCTTCACCAAAAGTGGAGTACGACAAAATTAAAAGTAGAGTGGAAAGAGACAGTCAAGAATGTAATGCAGAAGCAGCGGAGTGATGTTGCGAAGTCTCAGCTGAAAGGAAAGACTCAGCGCATTACCTTTGCTGTCGGGGACCAAGTGAACTGTAGAGACAGAAGATATACGGTTGGATGCGGGCTAGGTTTACGGAAACGCCTTCCAAAGTGGGAAGGATCATACACAATCACAAAAAGACGGGGTCAAGTATATACCATCCGAAGAGGCGACAAACAAAAACGAGTTAACGCCAGTCAGCCCCAACGATGGGAACAGTGGGACAAGCCGGTTAGTAACAATCCTCAACTAGAGAACTTATCACTCAAAAGGTCGGGACGCCTGCGCACGAAGCTATTTGACGGGGGGATGAGTGTGGTGAGAGCAGGCTTGCCAAAAATGGTAGACAGCATTTACGTCAATGGGTATGTCGCAAATATTGGCGGTGAAATTGACGAATCTACTTCGACGTGCGCTTCCCACTTTGGATGAAGAATCAGAAGCGCAGTTACTGTCTTCTCAGTTCATCGAGAGTGTCCCAGACCACATTTCTTAGCGATTACAACTGGTTAACGCAACACAACCGATGGATATTAGTGAGGTGATCAGACAGCTGCTGAGCACAGCTGTAGCCGCTATAGAGCAACCAAAACCAAACGAATACGAGCAGAAAATTGAAGCGTTGCAGCGGAAAGTGGCGGCGTTAAAGTTGGGTGATAGAAAAGACCGATGTTTTGAATGCGGTAAGCCGGGACACTGGATGAGATACTCCCCAGAAAGGCGAAAAAGAAAAAGTTTCAGACGGTATAATACGTGTTCTTTCTCTCGTATAAAACTAGATTTAGTGGGGGCTATTGAGAAAGGGGCTGTATATTCGAAGTTGCGAGTGAATGATCAAGAAGTAGTGTGTTTAGTAGATACAGGGGCGGCCGTGTCGTTAATAGACAAGAACTTATGTAAGAGTGTTAGTTCGTGTTCATTGACAGTACAAACGGTAGATGGGCATGTGTTACGTATCACGGGTAGATCG